AACATAATTGAGTCTTTTTTATAAAAAAAACAAAGAAATAGCTAGAAAGTGACAATTATATGTAATTGTAGTTGTTGGTTGTTGATACAATAGTTGAACCAATGAAATGTGATGAAACAAATTAATGCAATATGATATGTTTTTGTCAAAAATCTAAAATATCTTTGTTATTTTTATATAAAATGAGCTTGGTAATGGTTGTGATGAGCATAGTTGTGGTAATTTAGTAGTAAGATTATAAATTCTTACCCAATCAGTAGTAATTTTACCTCCAAAATTATATCAAAAGATGGTAATTTACCTCCTAAAGTATTAATTATACCCAAATAGTTGTGTTCTTACCCAATTAGTGGTAACTTAGGGCAAACATTGGTAACCTAGTGATAATTTTATTAAAAACGTGCTAACTTGCTTCCAAAAGTGGTATTATTACCAAGAGTTGTATTCTATTATTAGTAGTTTGGCCAAACAAGTGTTAACCTTAGCTATGAAGAGTGGTAATCTTACCAAAATAAATGGTAACCTTATTCAAAAAAGTGGTATTCTTACAAAATAAAAGTGATAATATTACACCCAAAAAATTGTATTCTTAGACCCAAAAGTTGTATTCTAAGCCCAAAAAAGTTATATTATAACCCAAAAAATTGGTAATGTTAACAAAAAAAGTGGTACTTTTATCTCAACAATAGTAATCTTTCCCTCAAAAAGTGATAATTTTTCCTAAAAAATGGTAATCTTATCCAAAAAAATTGATAATCTTGCCTCAAAAAATTAGTAATCATACCAAAATGTGGTATTCTTACTAAATAAAAGTGATAATGTTACACCCAAAAAGTGATAATATTACCAAGAGTTGTAATCTATTATCAGTAGGTTAACCAAATAAGTGTTAACATTAGCTATGAAGAGTGGTAATCTTACCAAAATATATGGTAACCTTATTCAAAAAAGTGGTATTCTTACAAAATAAAAGTGATAATGTTACACCCAAGAAATTGTATTCTTACACTCAAAAAAGTTGTATTCTAAGCCCAAAAAAATTGTATTCTAACCCAAAAAATGGTAATTTTAATAAAAAAAGTAGTATTTTTTTCTCAAACAGTGGTAATATTTCCCTCAAAAAGTAGTAATCTTCCATAAAAAATGGTAATCTTACACACAAAAGTGATAATCTTACCTCAAAAAAATTGATAATCTTACCAAAAAAAATGGTATTCTTACCAAACAAAAGTGATAATGTTACACCTAAAAAGTTGTATTCTTACACTCAAAAAATTTGTATTTTAACCAAAAAAGTGGTAATGTTAACCGAAACAAAGTAGTAATCTTGCCATCAATAAGTGATAATCTTCCCTAAAAAATGGTAATCTTATCCTAAAAAATAGTGATAATTTTGCCTCAAAAAGTGATAATCTTATCAAAAAAGTTGTATTCGTATCAAATACTCTTGGGGAAATACTCTTTCAATTGCAGTGAAGGAGTCTTTGAAGGTGATAATACTAGGATGAATAGAATTGAGTCTTTTTTATGAAAAGCAAATAAATAACTAGGAATATAGTTGTTCGTTGTTGATACAATAGTTGAACCAACACTAGTGAAATATGATGAAATAAATTAATGCAATATGATATGTTTTTGTCAAAAAACTAAAATATCTTTGTTCTTTATATATATAATGAGCTTGGTAATGGTTGTGATTAACATGGTATTCAGATTTTTTTGCTGCCAATAAAGGCCAAGCTAGGTATATTAAAGTGAAAAAATACTTGGAATGGAGAATGTAAAACATTTTCATTCACAGTTGTGAAAAAAAAGGAGAATTTCATCAACTCATCTTGCTCCATGATCTTGGTGCCCACTGTGATAGCACAAATTGAAGGTTAGATGACAATGGTGAAAAAATAAAATTTGTAATTTTTGTAATTACCTCCATATTACTGAAACTATTGTTGATGTACTGTAATTAAATGGTAGGATCAAAGCAAGACATTCCATCCTAAAATAACAAGGAATAAGTTTATAGGAAAAAAAATATAAATATCCAAAGAGTATTATATGAACCTGATAGTTGAGGATACCCTCATTGACAAAGATAGTGCAACGATTATCCTCTTTCAATGTTGGTATAGATTGTTACGATCTACAATGCAGTGACAAAGACATGTGGGGTGGTTGTTCCGATCCACTAAGTTGTGAAAAAGGCATGTCCCGTGGTGGCTGTGATCCAACTGGTTGTGAAAAATGCATGTCCTTGAATAGATCATTGGATTGAGATATCAAGAGTTGACATTTTCTAACAGTATGTCCAGTGCCCCTGCATTTACTACATCTTCACGGGTTGATTAGAATATTCATACGTGCACGACCTAAATTTCCCTTAGTTATCACGATCTTTGGATCATTCACACCGAATTGTGTATTCGTTACATTTGCATCGTGTTTGCCAAGTGACTCATGACGGGCTTTTAGAAGAGAAGTTTTTTATTGCACCATACTCCTCAGGTCATTTGAGTCTGAGAGCGATTGTGAAGCATAATAACACATTTGGTTGCACATTGACATAAGTCCAACATAACACGTAGGAATTGACACATTCGGAGGCACTTTACCACATTCGGGTGCACATTTATACCCAGATTTTGCTTTTATGGTTATGTGTTCATTCTTCTATTCAAAAACAAAATTTGTACGAAGGAAATATGGACAATTGTCCATGTGATGCAAGCTAGGTGACTTAAGCAAGATGATATAAGCCAATTGACACGTGACTTTGGCAAAAAACTGTGGCTATAAATAGCCTAGTAGCGGCCATTCGAACAACGCGAAAAAAGGGGAAAAAAAAGAAAGAGGAAGGAATAGGAAGAGAAATTTATGAAATTTTGGGATCAAAAATTAAATAGTACATTTTTCTTTCGATCATTACCAAATTAAAGGGTCTTGTTCAGGGTACTTTGAATTTTTTATCTATTGAAGTTATTAATAATTTTGAGGTACGGAGTAGTATATAATATTCTCATGTCATTTAAATCTCTTTGCAAAAAGTGTCTTTTGATTATCTAAAATTTGTATTCTTATTGATTATTTTGATTGAAACGAAATTCTAATATTTTTATTGGTTAACTTATTTTTTGGGCTAAATACTTTGGATTGATTGGTAAATATACAAAATGTATTTAGGGCATAATTGGTGAAATATAATTAGGGGTCATGCGGGGTGCAATTGTGATTACAGTCTTACGGGGTGTAATTAGATATTATAAATATGAATTTATATACTCAAGAGAAACTGAGTATGAAGCTATATTTGATAGCAGTTGTACTATGTAGCTTGTCGAATGTAATTCTTGATTTCGTTATCTATGATTCTTATCATCTGAATTATTTGGTATTTGGTCATTCATATTTTTCTCGTTGAGCATATTGTTTCCTGTCATATTGTATACTTCTCCGCTTTTAATATTTTTTTCAGGACAATCATGGAGGGATTGACCAAAGTTGATAATTGAGAAATTGAAGGTGAGTGAATCTTGATATAATTTTTAACTTTTATTGGTATTTGGAGATCAAAATTGTGATTATAAATTTATTGAGGCAATTAGAGCTATATCCCTATATTCGGAGATATTTGTGGTTTATTGTGATCAATTAATTTAATCAAATAACGCGTCCCGAAAATGGGACGTTACAAAGTGATATCAAAACTAGGTATTGAAACTTATATAGGCATTGTAGGAAGTGAGACTATCATAGACTTTTGATCTTATATGCGTAATTATGGGGAGTGAATTAACTAGCTTACATTGGACAAGTGCACGAGTTAGAATTTGTATCAAAACTTTGAGTTATATAGTAATTCGTTGAAAATAGTACTAGAGTGCACAGCGGAATTAATTAGTTTAAGGAGTATGAATTTCGAGGACGAAATTTTTTTTAAGGTGAGTAGATTGTGACAACTTGTATTAAAATTAATCGCTAACATGTAATTTAAGTCATTAATTATAATTTTATATAATTAATGATCATTTTTAGAAATTTTAAATGAACAACAAATAAACCTCAAATATAAATTATTTATATGAAAACGAGTCGAATGACTATAATATAGGTCATTTTTCGTGTTAAAATAAAATGTCATATTTTTAAAATGATATAATATATGAGTAATACGTTCGTTACATATAATATATGTAAGTATATTTTAGATATATAAGTGTCAAAGAAAGAAAAAAAAATATCCATGTACATAAATGGTGGCAAGTGTGTGAGAGGAAAAAATAGACATGTGTTCTATTAAAAAAAAATATATGAAGGAAATATGGACAATTGTCATGTGATGCAGGTTCGGTGGCTTAAAAGAGATGATTTAATCCAATTGACATGTGACTTTGGCCAAAAACTTTGGCTATAAATAGTCTAGTAGTGACCATTCGAACAACACATCAAAAGAGGAAAAAAGAAGAGAGAGAAATTTGAGATTTTGGGGTCAAAAATTAAATAATGAATTTGTTCGAGGTACTTCAAATTTCTTATCTATTGAAATTATTAATATTCTCATGTCTTTTAAATCTCTTTGCAAAAAATATCCTTTAATTATTTGAAATTTGTATTTCTATTGATTATTCTATTTGATACAAATTTCTGATATTTTTATTGGTTAACTTATATTTTGAGTTAAATACTTTGGGATTGATTGATACATGTACAGAGAGTGTACTTTGGACATAATTAGTGAAATGTGATTAAGACTCTGCGGAGTGCGATTGTAAATACAGTTCTATAGGATGTGATTAGATATTATAAATGTGAATAAAAATTAATTAGGCCAATCTATCTGGTACCCACAGCTTTGCTTGTTTTGGACTATGTTACTTGAGGCTGAAATTGATACAAGCAAATATGTGGCCCGCCTATAGCTGTCCAGGGTCGAATAAGGTCTAATTTGCAGTGGATGGGGGTGTCTTGAATTCATAAGATAGGAGAGGAATAGAGGATCAACTATCTTCCCTACATCCCGTGGCAAATTTCCTTCAAAATCACATAATATACATGAAAAACAGCAGCCATGCCCTTGAACATTTGAATAACTAGTTTGCTACAGTTGACAGAACTAATGACTAAACTAAAATAAGCACCCGGTGCACGTAGTAAACAATAATTGACACCACATAATCACAGCAAAAGAAGAAAAAAAGGTGGACACCACGAGAAAAATTGATTTCCGGGTACCAAATTAATCAATGAATATATTTTTGTGCACAACCCCATAGGTAGATCTAATAATCAAAACTGGGGAGGAAAGAACACATGATTACTGGTCTCAGGTATGAATGTGAGCGTCCTTGGTGCCAATAGAGGAAGAAAATGATGTACAAAGAAAAGTATCCGAGCAGAAAGAATTTACAACTCCTGTCAAATACTCCAGAAGCTCTTTTATGCACCTCTCGCTCCGGAAACTTCATGGAGACTTTATAAATCTTATTAAAGGACATATAAAACTTTCCAATGTCATATGTACCAGAGTATACTCTTCTTTAAATCATGTTTATAGTGCACTTGACTTCTTCCATGTTACCAATGACTTAAGAAAATCCATGACCTGCACATACAAAAATAAAATGGAGATGATTTTTCAATGGATGGCAAACACAATAAAGAAAAATGCAAACATAAACATAGAGGTTTCTATTTTTCTCAGAAGAAGAATAAAAAGAATAACAGTGCTGCCAAGTTGAGGAGTCTTTTACTATTTCCTTTCCTGGAATTGAGTTATTGAGTTCATGAGTTGATGAGTCCTGTCTTATTTCATTCCCTGGGATTGTGATTTCCTTCCCTAGGATTGGGAAAACATATTAAAACAGTTTGTTTGCACGAGTAAAATCCCTCCCCTTCCCCCTTCTGCCACTTTAGCTCCTTAAGTTAAGGTCTGAGTAAGGGCAGTCCTAGCTCTGATTCACCACCCCTCAAGTATGGGAAGCCAAANCCCTTCCCCCTTCTGCCACTTTAGCTCCTTAAGTTAAGGTCTGAGTAAGGGCAGTCCTAGCTCTGATTCACCACCCCTCAAGTATGGGAAGCCAAACAAATACCAATTACCAATCGATGTTGTTATGTTATGTTTAATTTGGGGACTTAATTTAACATGGTCATTGAATTAATTGGTAGTGGACTTCATTCAATGTTGAGACTCACTGCTAATCCATTAGTCATAGTACATTAGGTTCCCAAATTAGTTCCAATAGGATTGCTCGATATGAAATATCTACGACATTAGCATCTCTCTCTCTCCCCCTNGGACTTAATGTATCATGGTCATTGAATTAATTGGTAGTGGACTTCATTCAATGTTGAGACTCACTGCTAATCCATTAGTCATAGTACATTAGGTTCCCAAATTAGTTCCAATAGGATTGCTCGATATGAAATATCTACGACATTAGCATCTCTCTCTCTCCCCCTGCACAATTTCCTGACCCAAAATTGTGCATGCACGACATTCTAGTTACATGTTAAAATGGGTACACATTCTGATAATTTTTTCCAGAATCATTTCTATTTAAGGAAACCAGTGTTTGAAGTGCATAAACCTTGTAACAAACAATCATCAACCTCAGTAAGGTAGTTTAACCACTATTCAGGGAACAAAAAAGAATATGACGCAGTTAATTATTCAGTAAGAGCACAAAATGTCTTGATCTGAAACAGAACCCAATATTTGACTACACCGAGTATAATTCATACCTCTGATGGATCCCTGAGAGAGTAAAACGCATTGCTTTCCTTTGGCATAGAAGACACCAAGATGCCATAACCTCTATTACCCCCTCTCAAAACCTGTCGGTAACACAAACAAGCTTATTGATCATATGTTTCAATACTCATAAAAACTAGGTCCTCATCAAGCAGTTTGAGTGCTACTCATATGTTCAAGGGGCATTATTACCTTAAAGGCATCTTCATCAGTCCGATCATCTCCAATATATATGGGGAGCACATCGTCACAATTGCTTAACCCTACACCATAATCATTATTATTTCTGTCATACGGGTTGTTACTTTGCCTCAGATAATATGTTGTAATAACCAAATCAGCATATGTTTATGTGCAAAGAAACCAGGATTCACTCACCAAGTGATTCTAGTACAAACTCAACAGCTTTGCCCTTATCCCAATTCAGCACAGGCCGTACCTCTAAAACCTAATCATAGAGAGATCACAGCAATTAATTAGACCTGAGGCAAACAATACTACCTGGGGTTGATAACCATGTAACTGAAAATATAAAGTGTGCAAATGGCTTAAAGACAAACCTTCCTCCCGTGTGTCAATCGCAGACGTGGATAGTTCTTCAAGAATTCGTGGACGGATTGTGCAAGTGCTGTCCAACTCTGTAAAAATTTAGCCAAGCAAAAATAAAAGCAAGTCCTGTATTAGCTAAACAACTCGTCTCTAAAAATCACAGATTCGTTTGTGACACTCAGAAAAATCTCTACCTTTTCATCCACATTGCGGTAGTGTACGGAGACACAAAACTTATTGTTCTCAACTTGTGCCCCTTTAATTTCCTTAGTGATCTCGACAAGGGATCTAAAAACCTGCCCAAACAAGGATAAAACTGTGTTTTTATTATCCAGAATGGAAAGTTGTCACTGAAACATCGATGTACCATATCATGATTGTTGATTTGACCAGACATTTACACACCTCATCGATCATAGGCAAGAATTCACTAGCGGGCTGGAACAAATTAACTTCCTTACCCTACACTCATAGCAGATTAAATTATAAGCGAGATTTCATGAGCACAGAAAGGGGCAAGAGGAGTTCAAACACTGCAGGAAGGAAAGGTTTCTTAGGATCATTACCGGCTTGTCAGTAGAGCTAATACAGTTTGTACGACTCTTAGCAAAGGGCCGAACAGGGCCCATGATGTCCATCCCATGACTACCAGCATAATAGAGCTCTGCTAGTCCAACAAACTCATAGACCTGAATGAGTGGCAGCATGACCCCGAGTGAGGAAAATATATTTAGGAAAAAAACTGAATGCAAATCAAATAGAAAAATACCAAAGAAACCTGTCGCCTACCTTATCACGGCTTCTCCCACTAATTATTGCTGTAGGGAAATATTTTGCCACATTTCTAACAGCAGCACGCATCTGAGAACAAGTCATGAAGTATGGAAAAGAATTAGAGGAAGGGGTAAAAGTGAAATTTTCGTATGATTAAGTCATTTCCATACTAAATACAAGGAGAAGGCAGTGTCTTACAGCATGAGACATGAAGGCACGGTCTGGGTTGTCTACAATTGGGGACAGAGTCCCATCATAATCCAGAAACAATGCTATTCTCTTGCCTTTTGCATAGTTTGTTATTTGCTCAAACGATGTAAGTGCTGATGGATACTTAAGCTGCAGAACCGGAAGAAGAGATTAGCAAAATTCTGATGTTTCATCAAAGATAACACCCAAGCTGAAAGTTGACTAAACTAAGGGAAAACGGGAAAAAATACCATCCAACTGCGATAAGAAAATTCATTATCATTTGCTGGCTCAGTACTGGGATCTTTAATTATCTTCTTATGAGTAGGAGATGAGGATTTCATGGCATCCAACCAAGAACTGGACCGAACATCATCAAGTAGTCCAGGCTTCTTCCTTGGGATTGTCAGGAAGAGGGCAGGAGAAAAGGCTGCGACAGTGGTCGAGTATGGCAGCACTGAAGAATGGATGCCAAATCTTGATTTGTTCAGGGGTGCAGGATCAGTTAGAACGGGAGAACTATGATTTGATTTCAAGTCCATCGAATCCAGATTTGGATATCAAAGTTTTTTGACCAATACTGTTTGAGTGTTTGTTTCAAGCAAATAGAAGGCAATTGGTTTGAAAGCTCAATCTCAGATGATTTATTAGCCAACCCTCTGGTCTATGAAAAACCACCTTTTCCTAGTCTTTTTGTGGCTTCTGGTCAGAGATCAGTTCATCAAACACGGTATTCCTGTAAACAAATGATCACAACAAGGTGTAAGTGAAGGGAGAGGAAGATTCAAGATCACAGCACACAAGTGAAAAAATGCAACAGAATCCATATTAGAAACTTCAATTAATAGAAGATAGTAATGCATATCAGGCATCCATCTGATAACTATTGTACAGTTCTTGAATGGTTACGACAAAGTTGTTAAAATCTACTGCTCCTCTCAAATAGAAAATTATTTTTAACAGAAATAAAGAAATTTAAAAGCTTATATTTTCACCTTTCCAGATCCCTCCGATTTCATGCTCTATCTATTGAGAATTTTTCTAATTAACATATTTCAAAGAAGTTTTAGAACTACATTCAAGAAAGAATCCTAAAAAACACTCATATTACCTTGTGAAATTATCAAAAAGACAAAAATATGTAAGCTAATTCATTGTCTGATCATAATTATAATTCATAAGGCAAATAAAGTTTTTTTTTTCCTTATTCATGCACCTCACATGATTTCCCATATTGAACGCACATTCTACTTTCAACACCTCTTCAGCATTGGATTTCAAACAGAGCTTCCTATAACGTCATTATATATATATATATAAATTGATGATTTGGACAATACAATAATTCGAACAGATATATAGTTAGGACACAAGATAATTAAAGAATACTTGTAGTATTGACANCTTCAGCATTGGATTTCAAACAGAGCTTCCTATAACGTCATTATATATATATATATATATATATATATATATATAAATTGATGATTTGGACGATACAATAATTCGAACAGATATATAGTTAGGACACAAGATAATTAAAGAATACTTGTAGTATTGACTGCCAAATTGAAGCATCATAAGAGAAAAAAACCGGACAGTGCCAACACACAACTTTCAATAACATATTTCTGCGGAAAAACAGTATTAAGAGTTAAAACCAGGCCCACAAAATTTGATATTTGTTAAAGAAATTTCAGTGGTTGGTGGCTGCTTATGGCCACACGGTGGAGAGGAGACAATAGCATATGCAACCAGCCAACCACATATTATGGTCCTACACAGAAGCATGGAGAGCATTAAACAAAGAAACCCATCATATAGAAATTTATTAGAGAAATGCAACAAGCTAACAAACAAACAGAAATGACAGACTCAGGTCAGTATCACCATACCATTGTTGCTATTCTACAATACTCTCCCGACCACCCAAAAAGAAGAGCAATGTTTCGGATAACAAGATGTCATTAAAATCTTCTAGATTTTATTCTTCCAAAAACCATTGTAGGTACCATTAAAATTCATAGATAAGTTCCCTGAATCAAACTCACTGAGGGGGACTATCAATTAATTCACATGATAATTATAACTCCCTTTTTATTTACACTGAATAATATGCAATTTTTATTTTTATTTTTATTTTTTGTGGACTAGAACAATGAAGGGGATTAGGACTTACATAGTCATTTTATGTCACATTCATACAGTTATGAAGCAAATCAGCCAACAACTCATAGACACTAAAAAAAGATAGAAACCAAGATGGACATGAAAACCAACACGGTACATCACATCATCTTATTCAAACACAGCTATGCGGCAAAAAAAATATTAGGATCAATAAATAACAAAACTAGGCCAATATTGCATCAACCAACACCACCCAATTTTTATTATATAACATACTAATTTAAAAACTAACATTATAAGAAGAAGAAATATATGTGCTCCCAAAGACTGTTTGTTTCAACAGAAAATTACTCCCCCAACCTTTTCAAAAATTGGGGGAAAAAATACTAATTTTGCTTTGAGAAAAGTAACAGCCACCAGAAAGGAAAACNCTGTTTGTTTCAACAGAAAATTACTCCCCCAACCTTTTCAAAAATTGGGGGAAAAAAATACTAATTTTGCTTTGAGAAAAGTAACAGCCACCAGAAAGGAAAATAGCTTTTCCTTGCAGAGACAGAAATTTTTTGTTAACAAGAAAAAAATGGAGAATCCTGGTAGGAATGGTCTGCCTTTACCGGAATAAGAGAGATTTAGTCGATGTTCACCTTAACTAACCCAAACAAACGGAGCTTTTGATGAAATGAAAAATCTCCTACGGTCCAAAAAAGCAAAACTTAATTTACAGTCAAAAAAATTTCTAATCAACATCATCAAAGCATCAATTTTTACCAAAAAATGAGATTAAATCCCCTACTAAAACATACAAGTCAAAATTGTCCATGAGATAACTTCTTGAACGTTAAACTGTCGAATCGAAAAAATAATGCACAAATTAGGAATATAAAAAAAAATATTCAATCGAAGCATTTATTTTCAAACACAAGGTCCTCTAGAGAGAGAGAGAGAGAGAGAGTCAGTGGCGGGCGCACCTGATACACGATTACCAGCTCAATGCGAAGCTTATCAAGAAACGACAGGAAACGAAACCCAAACAATTCTCGTGAAATGCAGGAGATCAGATTCAAAACCCCCCCCAAAAATCACAGAACAGACAGTCAACGAACAAGCAACTCACCGACACTGAGAAAACAGAGGCGGAGCTCAAAGACCAAGAAGATAAAAATGAGAGAAGAACAGAGGAGGGGAAAGAGAAGATATCACCAACGGACCAACAACACAACACAAAGCCCTAGAAATTGTAGAGAACAAGAACACGAATATTTAACTGTAGATATGAAATTGCAGGAGGGAGAGAGAGAAAAGAAGAGGAAGGAGGGTTAACGAGGGTGACGGATATATATAGTTGGAGTTTCCGACGACACGTGCCCACGATGGAAAACCTGGTTGTTGAATTTGGAAACAGCAATTTGGGATCTTTCAAAACGCGATCTCACCGTGCCTTCTTCACTCGTGTGAACCACGTACCATGAGAAAAATGGAAGAAGTGCTCCATTTATTATCTTATTTTACGGTAAATAGCTGAATTTATTTTTAAAAGGTAAATAGCTGTAAATACCAAGACTTTTCTATTAGTAGTTAAAATTACNGCTCCATTTATTATCTTATTTTACGGTAAATAGCTGAATTTATTTTTAAAAGGTAAATAGCTGTAAATACCAAGACTTTTCTATTAGTAGTTAAAATTACACTCAATAATCTTGAGGGTTTTAGGCTCAAACTTTTCAGAGGTCATTTTTTGCAAATTAAGCAGTGAAATAAATTTATATTCCATACAATCCTCTTAAAAACCATGAACGGGATAGGATTATACTAGGTGTTATTTTATTTTTATTATTTTGATTACATTTTTTTCTTTAATACTACAAAAAAAAAATTAACATAATAGGGTCGAGTGTGCTTGCTGTAGGTGTTTGTTCAAATTTTCATTTTTTCATATATCCATGTACTTATCTTACATGAATAGCTCCCCCAGGTAACAATTCTTCTTTTTTTACAACTTTTTTTGGAAGAGAATATGTTATTTAATTTAATAGCTTGTTCAGACCCTAAGTTGAACTAAAAGAATGATTAAACCTTTGTCCAGTTAAGAAGGTTTAATTAGGGTGAGTCTTCTTATATTATCTAGATATGTCGATAGTTTGCTAGTAACCTGAGTAAAGTAAATAAGGGTCCCGTTAACTTCAAAACAAAAGTAGGTATCCTAATTTCTATGTACATGGTCTATTTTTGATTATACTAAAAAAAAGATTAGTCGAACTGTGTGTAAGTTGGCCTATAGACCCATGGACATTGAAAAAAAAAATTAAAACTAGTTGCAATCATTCCCATTGCTTTTATTGTGTGAGAATCAAATTAAATTAATTTATGCTTTAGTTTCTCATGTTGACTATAATGATCAGAATTTTACACAAGTCAAGTAATTTCGGCGCAAAAGCGTGGTTGTTTGATAGGATAAAACCTTAGTTACTTGAACGAACCGTATTCAAGTCTCTAGTGTGGGTCTTGAGTTCCCAGCGAAACGAAAGTCCCAATTTAAATTGTTTATAAGTTGAGGAATCGATTCATATCCTGAATTTTGTTCTTGATTCTACTCAGAGTTACAAACTTGAGCGACATAAACGTATTTCTACTCGTTGAGCACAGACCACGAAATTTCTCTGTTTCTGAAAAAATCAATATCAAAGAATGAAAAAAAGACTTTTTATACAAAAATGGACGAGTTATCTTAAACTAAATATAAGCGCGTGGTATAGTCTTGTTTTTTTTTTAATACAATTGATCAAATCTGATGTGCCCCAAGCTATTTTATTAATATTGTCAAACACAATATTTTAACAATAAAAACTGCCAAACTGAAGTAGGGCCCATGGTGGAACATCTTGGAAGGAGGCGAAATCCACGTGGAAGTGTGACTTTCATGCCTGATGCCCTCGAGGACACGTGTGATCGTGTCAGGGATTACGTGGCCACGTTACTGTGGGTCCTGCCACTCAGTTATGAAATGCCTAGTCGCTTTCTTTGACAGCTGAGTCGTCGTCGTCGGTGACGGTTAGGAGAAGGAATCGCGAGTAGGGATGGACCCATTATTTTAAAGTTCGTGAGATAATTAAATTTAGTAATATTATTACAATTTAAAATTTTGAATTAATAGTTATAATAAATTAAATCAATAAATTAAATTTTAATAATAATATTAAAATATATAATAAATTTATATTGTATTTAGTTATA